TATTTCACAGAAATCTATATTAATTGTTCAAGTTTTATTATATTTTTATACTCTCGCAACAAAGTTGCTAAAGAGAGTATTATAGTTTTCCTCCCATAACGGTTGTTTGTCAATCCTAAAACTAAAAGAGTCAGATATAGGGTTATATATAGTAAAGTGATCAGGGTGACGAGTAGAGTTGAAATTGGGATATCTGTCTGTCCGTCCGTCCGTCCGTCCGTCTGTCCGTCCGTCCGTGCAAGCTGTAACTTGAGTAAGATTTGAGATATCATGATGAAACTTGGTACACGAATTTCGTGGCTGGTTAAGTTCGAGGATGGGCGAAATCGGCCCACTGCCACGCCCATAAAATGGCGAAAACCGAAAACCTATAAAGTGTCATAACTAAGCCATAAATAAAGATATTAAAGTGAAATTTGGCACAAACGATCGCAATAGGGAGGGGCATATTTGGACGTAATTTTTCTGGAAAAGTGGGCGTGGCCCCGCCTCCTACTAAGATTTTTGTACAAATCTCGGAAACTACTATAGCTTTGTCAAAAAAACTCTACAGAGCTGTTTCGTTCAGGCATTTCCATATACATTTCAAAAATGAAAGAAATCGGATAATAACTACGCCCACCTCCCATAAAAAGGTTATGTTGAAAATCACTAAAAGTGCGTTAACCGACTAACAAAAAACGTCAGAAACACTAAATTTTAGGGGAGGAATGGCAGAAGGAAGTTGCATCCAGACTTTTTTTAAAAATTGGAAATGGGAGTGGCGTCGCCCACTTATGGACCAAAAACCATATCTCAGGAACTATTATACCGATTTCAATGAAATTCGGTATATAATATTTTCTTAACACCCTGATGACATGTACGAAATATGGGTGAAATCGGTTCACAACAACGCCTTCTTCCAATATAACGCTATTGTGAATTCCTTCTGATGACTTCTCTGTATAATATATACATTAGGAACCAATGATGATAGCGGAATAAAACTTTACACAAATACGGTATTTGATGCGAGAGTTTTTATACAATAAAGCCTTAAATTTACAAAGAAAAAAAACGGTGGAAGCAAAGATATAGACCTAATATTTTTTTGTTTTCTAACAATGGTTTTTATTGATCTCGCCCTCGTATTATGGTAGTATTTACTTACTACATGTCCAAAAGAGTAAGCAACTGCTTGGTACAAGGCTTAAATTATCATTGCATACGTTTTTAAATTTAGTGGAGTCACAAACCCAATACTTGTAGAACCGCTAACAGTATACTAACGTGACACTTATTACAAGATAAACACTTTTGAATGTGGAAATCATCTGACATTTTGACTATTGACGAAGGTCGGAGGATATTTACGAAGATAACGAAGGCAGTATAATGAGTGTGGTTTAGCTGACCACAGAGCGAGGATATCGATGGTTGAAATTTACAAACTCTTTATCCAGTTGAGCAATGAATTAAAAATCAGTTATCATCAGCAGATGCCGGTTGATCTGTAAAATAATCACCAACTGATCAATGTGGTTATATCGAAGTTACAACATCTTTTTTATTATTATAAAAGAGTTAGAAAGAAATTCCATAAAGATTAAGTAAACTTAGAATATCCACATCACATTTATTAATTTATTTTTTATATGAACGTTAACAACAAGTCATTCAACATAATCCGCCTATACTAGGCGCTACTTAAAAAATACTCCTATTGCTATCAGTATTTAGAAAAAAATGGAAGACTAACGTGAAGAAATCATAAATTCACTAAATTTATGCGTTGAAGAAGAATAAGAAATCACTTCTAGGCTAAGACGTGAAATCTAAGAAATATCTAAGTATTTGTCGGAATCAAGAAATCTACTAACAGAGATACTAAGTTCCCTAAGAGACATCAATTCGAGTACATGCAAAAGCAAAGTAAACTTATACTGCGATCACAAATATTAGGCTACGTTAACGCTCGAACAACATAAACCTTGCTTAGTACATGGTTTATTTCTGCGCAAAGTTCCTTTTATATAGCTGAAATAATTTCAATTTAATTTACTGACAGCTGCTTTGCATACAATTCAATGGTCACTTGTAAGTCATGGCCAAAAATGGTTTGGCAAGCAAATGTGTCAAAAGCGGTGCCGTTGCAAGCAGCTACATACAACAACAACAACAGTGAATGTAGCGATATTTGGTCGGCGAGACATTTATCACTTTTTGCCAACTCAGATCCTTATAAAGCATGAAATGGGTTGGCTCACTCACTCACTTGCCGATGATGGCATTGTTTATCAAGATGAGCACGCGCATGCGCAAAAACACACAAATACATATATGCTGCTGTTGGCGATGCAGAATATTTGAGTAGGTCCAGTTTTCATTACGATTACGCGTTAGTGGTGTGACAAGCACCAAGAAAAGCACACTTGGAGAAGCAGGGAGTGACATTATTGATGCCACGCACAGATATGCGCCTGTCAGCGGCGGTGACAAAAGCGACTGATGCCACGCACACATACATTCATTCAAATACAACGATATTTATGCAAATTAAATCATGTCCCGTATCAGAAATGCTAGGCTGTCGCGTCGGCGCATCATAAAGCGATAAAAGAAAAAGGCGAACGGCAACAATAGTGTGTAGTAATATGAAAATGAAATACAATAAAATTATCCAACACCTTATGCCGTGGCCGATTGCATGCAAATTTCGTTTTTTTGTGCCTGCTTAATAACTGACCGTCAATATGGTTACATGTGTGTGTGTGTGCATTAAATGTAAATGAAATCAATTTCGGTGTGGCTTTTGTGTCGTCAAGCCAAGCGAGTCATCAATTTGAATGGCAATTTTTGTTCGACTGTTGTGATTTCGTGTTCGCATTAAATTAATGCTCGGTAAAATCTTATTTTGTTTTAGGCT